GGTCATCTTTAAAAAAAAATAATAATAAAATAAAAAATAAAATTATTGTGTTTAGGTGGAGTGTTACCTCCCTCTCCATCAGAACAAGCCCCTTGGGAACAGAGACTCTGTGAACTGCTTACCCACAGCATCTCAACTATGGGTAGGTGCTCAACTGACTTGGCCCCGGGGCCAACTGTGAGCCAGTTCTGACAGGAGAAAGACAGGAGAAGGGTTCTGGAGGTCCAGGCAGGGCAGCCACTAACCCTTCCCCAGTGAGGGCACAGCAGCTTTGTATGTGCCACAGGGGGTCTTTGATGGCACTGAGAGTAAGAAATTGGGAGATCTCCACAATGCTCATGGAGTCCTTCCTGTCCTGCTTGTTGGCAAAGATCAGGACTGAAGCATCTCAAAGAGCCTTGGACAGAGGAGCCCAGCTTCAGTCAGCCTGCCAGGTCCCACTCTCCCTTCTCACTGCCCCATGAGTCCTCCCTGGCTCCTTCCTCAGTTGTCCCAGCAAGAGATGCCCACGCCCAAATAGGACTGAGATCGGGACCCTGCTGCGACAGTAGCAAGCACAGCAAATGACACCCAACAGTTCATGGAATGCCTCCCAACCAGTTCATGTAATCCTTACAACAATCCCACGAAGTAGAAAGTGATGATCTTCCTCATTTTATACTTGGGGAAACTGAGGATTAGAGAGGTGAAGTGACTGGTCCTGAGTCTCACCAGGAGTAAGAGGTGGGGTCAGGACTTGAACCAGCAACTCTGGCTTCCATCATCAATGGGTGAAGGGCACTGTCACCCTTCATCTGGGATAAACGAGCTCTCCTCGTGCCGCTGGGATAGAGGCTATCAGAAACAAGAGTACGAGGAATGAAGCTCAGAGAGGCAAATGACGAGCCTGAGGGCACACAGCCAGTACCCCTGGGCCCTCTGCCAACCTCAGGGGCTCACCTCATGGGCCAGCATCTTATACAGCTGCTCCCAGTGGTCAGCAGCCGGTCCTGGTCTGTGCTGTCGGTCACAAGGATGGTGAACTGGCCAGCAGAGA